GAAAAGAAATATAAATTAACAATTTGGGTATTTGTTTGATTAAAATATTTTCAAGTAAAATTTGATTGTTTTGTCGAGAAGATTTTGTTTTTCTATGTTTAAATGACATTATATTATTAATTTTAATTTTAGGATACTGCAGGTCAGGAACGTTTTAGAACACTAACATCTTCATATTATCGTGGCGCTCAAGGTATTATATTTGGTATGTGATAGATAATAACGTATATATATATGTTATGTGCATGATTTTAATTATTTAATGGCATTAATATTTTCTTTTTTTCTAGTATATGATGTATCAATTCGTGAGACATTTGATCAATTGGATAATTGGTTTAATGAATTAAATACCTATTGTTCAAATAAAAATATAGCAAAAATTATAATTGGTAATAAAATAGATAAGGCAAAAATAGTTAAGTGACCAATTATTAATCATTACTTTGATTATGTGTGATAATTTAATTTATTTTAATATTTTGTATTGAATTTTGAATTATGATTTTAGGGAACTGAAAGAGCAATTTCACGTAAAGAAGGTGAAGCATATGCAAGAAAATTACAAACTTTATATACAGAATGTAGTGCTAAAACAAAATATGGTGTGGAAGAAGCATTTGCTGAACTTGTTAGAAAGGTTGTTATAATTATAATTATTATTGATTACATAGAATAGTTATAATTAATCATTTTTATATTATCATACCAATAATTATTTTTTAGATTATTGAAGATCCAACTGTAGTGCAGAAAAAAATTGACAAAACAATTAATAATAATGTTAATATATTTTCACAGGACAAACAAAAATCAAATAATGATGGATTTTGTTCATGCTAAATTTTTTTGGGCTTATTCGATTTTTTTTTAAAAAAGAAAAAATGATTATAATACTTTTTACTTTATTTATATATTAATCTATCATTGTCATTATCAACAATCACATATTTATAATCACACATTCTTACCTACTTTTTTATAAAAGTAGGATTGTGAAGATTACACACAAAGAGATCA